GGTCGTCCAAGGGTGACTTAGAGGAGGTCATGCGAGGAGGAGATGAAAGCATGTGGACAGACCTGGAGCGGGGTGAAAAAGTTGTCAGAAAACCGAAGGCAATGGAGGTGCACAGCTGAAGCCCTATGTTCCTCTAGGAACTAAAGGATACAATAATAATAATGTGTATCTACCAATTCACTCGCTCATATGAAGCGAGATATATAACGTCATTCGATGCATGTTTTGTCTAAAAAAAAATTCAAAGAACATTATCCTCACTTAGCTACACAAAAAGTAACCGTAGGGAGTTTTATAACTGAGCCCACATTCAACACAAGTCACTCAATATGCAGTGGGGAGACCGTTCAAAGTTATCTACATAGTTAAAAGAAGCCTTCCAAAAGCGATAAGCTTCCTCATACTTATCGATCCGGATGGAAGACCCTGATTTATGCTAAACAGAAGATACTTACCCCCATCCCCTCATTCTACACTGGGTCTAATTCTAAGTTCTACAGTTATCACTGTTTTGTACGCTTTTCGTATGACATTTAGTATCATCAGTTTGGGGTTAGAGGATTTCATTATGAGCTGACATCAGTCAGAGAACCATTTGAAAACCAACTAGGAGTAGTGGAGAACCAGGCGTTTCGTCCTAGTTCGGAACTCTTCATTAGTAGGCATCCACCGCGACGGTTTGAGCCCACGCCCTTCTGGTTACAAGGCTAGCGAGCACCTGGACCATTAAACCACTGGGACCCAATACAATGGTCAGTCAGTGTATGAATTCCAACTTCTTGCAATTCACGAACCAGGTTTTTCAATGGTTCTCTAACTGATGTCAGTGTATAATGAATTGCTTCAATCAATCAAATAAAATCTCTACAAAACCAAATACTTGAAAATATCATCACTTTCTTAACTAAGCTTCTTTTTATTGACTCTTTTCACTTACTGTGTAATTTATTTTGATGAACTTGTCTCTATTCTCTTTCGTTAATATCCAATTTGTTTCTGAACGTTTTCGTATTACGTAGCCCTAGTCAAAAAATTATTAATTTTCACGCCATTCTAGTTATACTTTTGATTATATCTCATATTTTTGAACTATTTTGATGAAGTATACAACGACACAAACTAATTTTTTATTTGTGTTTGATAAACTTAATGTACACACACACACACACACACACACACACACACACACAAAATCAATTAATTATACAAAATTGCGATTGCACAACTAACTGGATCAACTCTCAGAAAATAAAGATTCTTTGCCTGAAGTACTCGTTCCTATTTCGATGTGCAGATGGGTATTTTTTCGTGAACAAATAATAATAAAGGAGATATGCAAATATTAGAATGATGATAGAGATAGCTGGGAGAAAAAGGAGTAACAATTACAAAGTTATTCAAGTGTTGGCTAGTTTCAAGATTTTATCCTGAGCTGAAATCGGCCAGAGGACAATTGGAAAACCCAGGAGTAATGGACAGTGAACTGTTTCGTCCCCCTAGTTTGGAACTCTCCACCAGTATGTGTCCTGGCTGATAACTGCTACCTTGTCGTGATGGTCGGGCTTGAATGACCGTAATGACCCAACATGCTAAACTGACTGGGACTCATGTCCCTGAAGGTCCCACCATGTCAGGAAGGTTTTCTGGATAGCGGTTAAACTAAAAGCAGTTACCATGAGGTACATGGACTCCAGTATCCACTCGGATCAAATGGCGTATGAACCCATATGGGTCACCGGAAACGGTCATGGGAATGCAGCTCCCGACGCTGCTCCGCTGCCTTCCGGATTAGACTCCAAGTCAAAGGGTCGAGGGGGGGGCTGGTCCCTTAACAAAACCACCTGCTTCGGTCTTGGTGCCCGGACAGTATGTCAGTCCTCACACAATGAATTGAATGAAGCAACATACAATCAATGAAACTTATCACGTGCTATTACACATGTCGCAATTTCCTTCTTTCTTCCCTTCCAGATGATAGTTAACGAACACTGTTTGAACTCCTTAAGCATGACTGTTTTCCTCCCAGATGAAGTTCTTTATCCGTTCCTTACCTATATATGTTTTTTCTCTTTTTTCTTTTAATCTATGTTGTTTTATTATTATTGTGTGGAGCATCCTTCTAGGTGCCATATTGTACCAAGTTTTTATGCGTTTAAATAAAATAAAATAAAACCAGTATGTGCCCACTGCCAGGGTTTGAATCTATGGCCTTTCAGTTACCTTTCAGGTAAATAGTTCCCTGGGTTCCAGCGGGGTACAGCAGGTGGTCGGGTGTGAGGACAAACACTCACCGGCGATGACGTTAGCTGGTGGTCGCTCTATATCATGAATTGGCAGAAGTTCGAATTCATGGGCTGGCCAATGAGTCCGGTTCTAGTTGAATTAATGGTCTACGAGTTCACTTTGTAACTAGAAGGTCCTCGGTTCGGAGCGTGGTAGTGACTGAGTATTGATGAAGAATCCCAAGCTAGGATGAAACAGTTGTCTAGTACATTCAGGTTTCCCAATAATTCTCTAACCGATGTTAGCTCATGAAGGAATCCTGAAATTATAAAGTTAGTCGGAACATTCAAATAAGTACTGTCAGTAATCTAAATGGATAGTTCATGAAGGGATTTTCAGACGGATTATTCCACTACATTTACAATCAAATTTATGTGTGAAAATTCTTTTTAAAAGAATGGATACTGAACAAAGAATACTCTTTTCGATAACTTCATCTTTCAGTCGAGCAAGTAGCTAGCTAGACTAGCCACTTCAAATTGTATCCACTAATTCAACTGCGCTTGTGGTGGAGCGAACTATATCGGCCGTTTCTCTACGAACTTAATTTTTCGTGCTCACTCGAGAACATCTCCCACTATGGCTAAGTAAAGGTGTAGTGAAAACCAATAACAGTTCGATATTGGACCATATGGTGCAAACCGGCCACAAAGCCAGCCAGCGTGGAGAATTCCTTCTCTATCGTCTACCAGGTACCTAATAAATTGTTAAAATCATCAAAGTACCGCATGCTTCAAACACCAGAGGCTATTGCGATTCGCCTTAAACAACCAGCACTCTGTGTCCAAAAGAAGCAAATCCAGCCCCTACTATTGCCCTGACCTTCAGTAGAAACTAAAAACTCATGAATTTGTAATACTATCCTTCCTATTTGTTCCGACATTCAGCTTAATGTATGTTGATGCGATTCACCTGTAACCTATCAATATTATTGATTCGATGTTATTTAAACAACATGAATGTTGTTCATAACACTAAATCATTCACTATAATGTATATATAACTGTAGAGTCTGATGATGAAGGGGTTATCGAAAAGAGTACTCTTTGTTCAGTATCCATTCTTTTGAAAATTTTATTGGGCATTTTTAATCAGTTGAAAGATTTTTGTATATACTATAATTTCAACATACATTGAGCATGTCATCCACCTATCTTCATCACACTCTTTTTCGGCAGATTGAAAGGTATCTAAAGCTCTGAGAGTTGCCAAAAGTTTAACGGAATTATACTCTATTTAAGTGTTGGTTTGTAGGGATTTGATTGGTTTCAGGATTTCATCAAGAGCTGACATTAGTTAGAGAACCATTGGAAAACCTGCGAAGGAGTACTGGACAGCTGTTTCGTCCTAGTTTGGGACTCTTCGTCAGTACGCACCCACCGAGATTCCAACCCAGGACCTTCCAGTTACAAGGCGAGCTCGTATATCATTAAGCCACTCTATAACAGTGGCCAAAAGTGTAATCTTATATCAATTTCTAAAAAGTACTTCAGGAAATAAATAAAGACGCCTCTAGAGTACTCTGGTAAGAACACAGTGAATAAATGACAGTATCAGGATTTTATCAGGAACTGAAGTCGGTTAGAGAACCACTGGAAAACTTGAGAACATTGGACAGCTGTAACGTCAGCCTAGTTTGCGGCTCATCGTCAGTGGGCACCCAGTGAGGTTTGAACTCAGGACCTTCCAGTTACAAGGCAAGCTCGTAAACCATTCAGCCACTGGGACACGACCAAGGGACGTGTGTACTGCTCAGCAGTTCGCTCCGTCCGTCCTTCTCTATGGCTCTGAAACATGGCCAATACGCGTTGAAGACATGAAAAGGTTGACTGCTTTCGATCATAGATGTCTGCGATCTCTTTCTCACGTTAGGTGGTTTAATAAGGTAAGTAATGTTGACGTTAGGCGTAGAGTGTTGGGCAAAGAGGGAAAATCAATCGACGAGGCTATAAAGTTACATAGACTAAGATGGCTAGGTCACGTGCTGCGCATGCCTAACCACCGCCTCCCCCGACGGGCTTTGCTAGATGATATAGGTGGTGCAGGTTGGGAAAGAGCCAGTGGTGGCCAAACAAAAACATGGCCTCATCAATCCATGAAATAAATCCTTGACAGTTAAACTGAGTCAGGTAGGGAGATGCAGACTCCCGGGTTGGGGCCCTCGGGACTCTAGGAATCAATGGCTGGAGACAATAGGTGACATGGCTCAAAATCGTTGTCAATGGCCAGCGCAGATGTATTCACAGTCTCTGTAATCTTTCATATTCCTTTCTACCATTACCCATTCTGTTTCACTCTTATACTTGTCAAACTCTATTAATTCTCTCCACTCATCTTCTTGTCTACATCTGTGTGCTATTTGGAACGTGGCAACTCGAACGGGTGCACTTGGGTGACAAGTTCTATGTTGAATCCAGACAGACAGACAGGGACACGACTCATTGGCCAGCCCATGAATTTTAACTTCTAAAAAACTCCAGGAAACTCCATCTTGTAGTTAGTCACTAGGGTGCAGATCGAAAATAAGTGACTACAAATTAGCTCAGAGAACGAATGTTTTGTGCGTCACACACCGATATCTCTCACATCTATCTGGTGAGAGGGAAGGGGTCAAAGAAATGAAAACATTGAAAAACACCTTCAAAAAAAGAAAATTGTATAGAAAGACACTGAAGCGAAGACATTAAAACTAAAAAGAAAAACACAATAGAACGTACTATACGAAATGCTTCGGAGGCATCAGTTCCAGCATGTTCCAGTAGAATATCACATCCACCAGGATGATAAGCAGCAAATTTTGTGATGTCGTAGACAACAGCTAGAAAATTCGCAAACAAAAACGAAACAATTACATAGTTATATAGTTACACCTGTTAATGATGAAGATAGGAGTAAGGCAAGACTGTCTATTATCTATCACAGTGATATTCTTAATCGTTATGCACTTGATAATGCGGTAAGCTTTTAGGAATTGAAAACATGGGAATAGGTTGTGGACTTAGGTTTGGTAGAATATTCAGATCTTATGTCACGAAAACTCGATAACTTAAGAGCAGAAACCAAGAATTCCGCAGAAGAGAACATGAAATGAGGACTTCAGGCGGACATAGAAGAAGACAGAAGTGATGAAGATATCTAACTAACAATAACAAGCATCAATCACTACCACTTGGAGAAATCTAGGGGAACTTCGATTTGATATGGGTTAATAAATGGTGGAATGTATTGAGTCTTGTAAGTGGCTAACCATCTAATATCAACAGTTCAAAGTGCACTGTGATAGCGAGTCACCTAGAATGGTGACCACACTGAGAGAATTTAGTCTGCATCAAACAAAGGACTGGAAGTATGACACTAGGTTCTCACTAGTGTCCAATCAAAGTATCCATTAGAGTCCTACAGGAGGTGAATCGCAAGTCCGAATAGCTCAGTGGTAAGGTCACTGACTGTAGGACTGGGTGAAGCGGGTTCGAATCTTAGAAAGGACACGAGTTCCTTCACGATAGTTGCAGACACGCCTTGCTGGCTGGTGAGTGCCAACCAGTACAAAACCCAGTTCCAAGGCTTTCTGCGGCCTTTCTGCTTTCTTCGACCTACAACCATCTAATATCAACAAATCTAAGGTAAGTCATCCCTTTCGATACGTGTCTAAGCAGCATCCTCTGAGCTACAGATAGCACAAATAAAGGTATCAAAGCCGAAAAAGATCCCCCCCCTGAAACCAGTATGGGGGGAGGGGAGATCTACATTACTTATCACAACCAACAAGATTCACATTCCCAACACTAATGCCAATCAAGTCAGTTCTTCTATCTGATTCAACAACTTAGCTTGCGTGTTAACGAAAGCATTTTCAACAGCCTACTGTAGATATTCATTGACAGCTACCTCCGCTAGCTCAACACGTAAGATTAAATGACCGAGACCAGAAAGGACAGACAACAGGAAACTGTGCAAATAAAAACAACCAATAACCTGCTGTCTAACAAATATGCAAGAGGAAATGGACATTGATTGGATATATCATAAAGCTTTTTTTCTTAATTAAACAGGTTAACTGAACAAAAGACAAACAAAAAGAGGCAAGCACAGGCTTACATTTTCCTTGATTATTTAAAGCTATCCACATATCATCAAGTTGGGCATGTTTTGCTAATTCAGCACAATCGATTTCTCTGTTTGTTGGTTGCTCCGAGAGATATTTTTCACTTCTTGTATAAGCATTCCAATGACCAATACCCCTAGAAATGTAATTTTTTGTTAAATAAAACAAAAGAAGGGCGGGTATTGTTGTATTATTCATAATTATCAAATTAAAAATTACGTCTTGTAAAAAATGCATAGAATAATATATGAAAAAATCCTGATATAGTAACTCAGTTAGTCTCGACCAACAGCCGATGTTACCTTGATGTCATGGCGGTGGTCGTGGTGGTGGTGGCGGTCGGGCTTACATATCCCTATAGACCTGATGACCTACAACGGCTGGAAAACGGTTAAACAAGAAGCCATTACCAGTATAGTGTAAGTCAGTAACACTATGTTAAGTGTCTGAGGGAGGAGTCGTACTGCTGTAGCTAGTAGGGATATAACACCAGTATAGAGAGAGGGATTTAGGGAATGTCACTCGTGGAAATCGTACATCCTAACTTGCCTTGCGCATGTCGTCTGTAGACGACAGTAGGATGTTGGATGCGGACACAACCCTAAAAACTCACTCAAACAAGCCACGTGTATGTTTGTGTGTGTGTGTGTGATGGAAAGTCGAGCACTTGTCATTTTTATTTATTTATTTAAACGCAGAAAAAAATCTTGGTACAACATGGCACCAAGAAAGATGCGCCACACAATAATAATAAAACAACATAGATCAAAAGTAAAAAAAATCTAAGTAGAGAACGGATAAAGAACTTCATCTGGAAGGAAAACAGTCATAATTAACAAGTTCAGACAGTATTCGTCAGCTATCATCGGGAAGGGAAGAAAGAAGGAAATTGCAACACGTTCGCCATTGACTACGATTCTTGGCCATATCCGATAGCGTTTCAAGCCATCGATTCGAGCTATCTCGCGGCTCCCAACCAGGGAGTCGTGACGCATCAACCGATGCTAATCTAGCACAAATGTCCTCCATCCCACGACGCCACGTCGTGGACTGACCACGCCTCCACCTTTTCCATCCCAACCCAGGGCTGGCTAGCGAAGAGAGACCTGTCCAAGCGCAGGTGGTACATACTACTAGTATTTTCAGATGGAGAGGATAGTCGAAGCACTTTACTGGGATCTTGAATGCGCGTCTTTGAAATACAGCAGGCATCGATAGTGAGGATTTCCAATGTTCTTACCAACCCTGTCTGTTTTCTGATTTGCATCAGCGTCCGAACATTTTAGGTGGCCAGCTTGAACGTGGCACGCGGTTTCCGGATATCTGTGTTAGATGTCACATTGGGGACAACCATTTTGAGGGCTACTCACTAACATCTCGAAACAACACATATAGGCTGGGAATTCAGACAAAGGCAAAAGGCTGTCGAAGGTGAAGAAGTCAAGGTTAGCAAAGGTAAAATACAGAAATCTATGTTTAAAAATAAAAGTAAGGTTGGGAAGACATAAGTTACTTGAGATATCATTATTACTAGAAATCATTGTTACGAGCGTGCGATGAGTTTCAATGATAGTTTGTTGCTTTATTTCATTTATTCTGTCAGGGCTGAGATACTGCCCGGGTGTCCAGACCGAAGCAGGTGGTTTTATTAAGGGACCAGCCCCCCCCCGAGCCTTTGACTTGGAGTCTAATCCGGAAGGCAGCGGAGCAGCGTCAGGAGCTGCATTCCCATGACCGTTTCCGGTGACCCATATGGGTTCATACGCCATTTGATCCGATTGGATACTGGAGTCCATGTACCTCATGGTAACTGCTTTTAGTTTAACCGCTATCCAGAAAACCTTCGTGACATGGTAGGACCTTCAGGGACATGAGTCCCAGTCAGTTTAGCATGTTGGGTCATTACGGTCATTCAAGCCCGACCATCACGGCAAGGTAGCAGTTGTCATCTGGATTATGAAGTGACACAACACTAATTCCCCTTCTGTCTTCCCAGAAATAATAACTAACCACACATACTTCCATAACCCCATCTTTAAGTGTTACTATATACGCTAAAATACTCAATGACTAATCGAAGACAAAATCAACATCATCAATAAGATAAACTGTGTGAATTGTGCAAAAAAACACGATACATTAGCTAAACCCAACATCTGTTTAGTCTTTGTCCCCACAAACATAGACTAGAAGTCTAAAGACACAGCATATTCCCAATTCAACTGGAAAAGTGTACAGCAAAGAAAAAACACAAAGAGAATACACTGCATAATTCCCTAAAGAGCCTGATGCCCAACATTAATTTGCAATTGTGATAGACCCTTTAATATAGATCGAATGGACTAATCACTGGAGAGTAAGTCATGTGATACTAAAAGGTCAACAGTAACGACAACAACAAAAAACAATCAATACCAATAGAGATGAATAGAGTTATAAGAAGCCTTTTAGAGACAAATTAATTACTTTAGAACAACACATTTAAGCGAACAATATTGTGGTTTCAAATAGATCTCATCAGCCTTAACTCTAATATACCTATATAAGTTTACAAATAAAAATTCAAATATAAACACCAATCATGGTGTTTTGTCTATAGGATAATAAGATGGTGAATATAAATTGTGCAACTAGTCATAATAGTAGTAGTGATAATAATGGTTCTATCAATAACAAGTGAGGCGGCGATTTGTGATAACACGAATAATGAAAAACGGTATGATTAAACAAAAAAATGTTCACGTAGACATTGTATCCTTTAGTTCCTAGAGGAACATAGGGCTTCAGCTGCCCACCTCCATTGCCTTCGGTTTTCTGACAACTTTTTCACCCTGCTCCAGGTCTGTCCACATGCTTTCATCTCCTCCTCGCATGACCTCCTCTAAGTCACCCTTGGACGACCAACTCGCCGCCTCCCTTTCGGGTTCCACTCGAGGTCTTGTCTAGTGATGTCACTTGATGGTTTCCTCAGCGTATGGCCAATCCATCTCCATTTCTTCCTGCCTATTTGTTTCACAATCGGTTCCTGGTTGGTTCGCTCATTACCAGAGATCCCTGTTGCTGATCTTTTCTGGCCATCTGATCATGAGTATTGAGCGAAGACAGCTGTTAATGAAGGTCTGAAGTTTGTTTGAGATGCTCTTTATGACGCACTGGCCAAGTCTCTGATCCGTATAGTAGGTAGCACTGACTTTACATTGGAGTTGAAAATCCGGATCTTATTTTTGATGCTGAGTGGGGCTGTTGACCTCCACACAGATTCGAGAGTAATGAAAGCTTGTCTTGCTTTTCCGATTCTGGCTTTGATATCCTCGTCAGTTCCGCCTGTAGTTGAGACGATGCCTCCCAGGTAGGTGAAGGAGGCTGTTTCTTTCAGGTTCTTCCCACTTATGCTGATTGTTGTCTGTTGTTGTTGATGTTGGCTAGGAATCTTCATGACCTCTGTTTTATCTATGTTCACTTGAAGTCCTATCTTTGATGCTTCTTCTGCCAACTTGTTGCTTTTCACTTGCATATCTTCCAGTTTATGGGAAATCAGACATATATCATCGGCGAAATCCAGATCCTCCAAGTCTTTTGTGTCAGTCCATTTTATGCCTGTTCCCTCGTTGGTTGCCGTTGTCTGTCGCATTATCCAATCAATTGCAATCAGGAAGATCAAGTAGACAGTAGTTGATAAAGGCTAAGAAAAACAAATGAACCGATTATGTAGTGCTAGACTGACTGTAAGGGAAGTAAATGAAACACGTTTTTAATGAAGATGTGATAAGATTAAGGGATGATACGAAAGGGGTTGAAAATATAAAACAAGGAGTGGTGTAGAAGTCATCAGTTGGTTATGCCTTAATAGACCAACGGAGGGATAATGGCGGCACAAACTTCTTTTGAATGCATATAGTTTAGGTTTAATAGTTCGAATGCCCATCACCTCAGCTATGTGCGTGCAGTAGACGAATACGAAGTCTATTGGAAAGAATCGGTGGGATACAATGAATTACTTTGAAGGCTCTCATTTTCTCCACTACATGATCACTATCAACTAAAAGTGACCAAATTGAGGTACGCATTGTTTTTGTCTGTCCTTCGCCAAACCACGATGATGGGAGATGTTCAGTAACAACACGTTAGCTAAGCTGTCTAGTAGTAGTGTGCCCAACATCACTGTCACCGCTGGTGCAGTTGAATTGATAAATGCACATAGATGTGGTAAAACGATCAAGCTTATCCTTCGTTCGCGTCCCAGTCAATTCATTACCATCAAAGTTATCAGGAGACAGACAGTTATTTTATTCATAGAAAAACACTAAAGCCTAACCTCAAGCTAAAATTAGCGTTGAAGATGATGTCTACTAGGGGAGTGATACGTTCTCAGTTAAACCAGGCAGTTCAGAGAACACAATAGCAACACATAACAATTTATTGTTCATATATATATATATATATATATATATATATATATATATAAACTTTACAAATAAATATAATAATATAATAATAATACATAGGCCGTACAATTAGGCATGTTTGTCGCCGGATTTCCGAACACTACCTTGTATAGTTCAGTAAAGGACAAACAAAATCTATTCGTATAGCTATTCTATCTCATCTTGTGGATACACAAGACAAGATTGATGTCAACGCGGCAGCTTTCAAAGTCATTTACTGCATACCAACAAATCTGAACTTCGCCTTAAGTGTTCGATTACTAAATATTGCTGAGGCTGGCTGTTGGAATCCACATTAAGAAACCTAATTTTTGCATCCAAAAGAAGTTAGTTCAGACATTGTCATTACCTTGGCCATTTAGGTTTGAATGGTCCGCAGTTTGTTATGGAAATTTGCCTAATTTTAGTTGATATTCCTATTTTCTTTTATATTTTTATGCTTCTTATTATAATTTTAGCATCTTTAATGAACTGTGGTAATTCCATTGTGATCTTACTTTACAAATCGATATTATTCAAAAAGCACACTAATATTGATATTGACTACTATTCTAGAATATTCTATGTATATAAACATATGCACATAATTGTAGAGCCAGAAGAGGAGGAATTTATCGAAAAGGATATTCTTCTTTGTTCAATTATTTTGTTTTGTTTTTATAGATGTCTGAATGAATATTTTTGCATTAAT